ACTCCCCTTCCCGGCTTTCAGGAAGCGTTACCTCCGGCGGCGGGCAGCTCTGGGACAGCTGAACACCATCCTGCTGGTGGCCCGGCCCCTGCTCTGGAGACGGCAGAGACTGCAGGTGAGGCGTTTGGGCGGGGCTCCTGCCCAGGGTGGAAGCAGGCGCCTTGCTGCCCAAGCTGGCCGAACCCTGACAGCGTCCACCCTCCTAGCCCAACCACACAAGGTCAAGGCCTCAGAGACCATTGCTGGTTTAGCTCTTTCCACTTCTGTCTGCCTGGCCAGCGTAGGCTGGGGCGTCCGGGGGTCATTCCCTTCCTTCATCCCTGCCTGTCCCTCAGACCCACTGATCCCTCCCTGCCTAAGGTGTCTTTCCATCTGTCTAGCCCTCCCTTGGGCTCACCTGCTCCCCTCTCTTACCTGATGACTCCAATTGGAGGGCCATAAAGCAGCTCAAAGTTCAGTGCCCACATACTGCTCCTCTCTCTGGCCCCTCCCTGGCTGGACTTTGTCCTTGTCCCCTGGGACCATTCCTTCCTGTCTTCCTGCCCTCTTCCTAGTGCCCTGGCAGTGACGCCCACAGCACTAAGGCTGGTGAGGGTTCTGAGGGGCTGGGGACAGGCAGCTGGCCCCTCTGGGTCTGTGTTTGTTCCTCCGCTGGTGCCGGGGCCTCCAGAGGGCGGGAAGGGGCAGCTGAACTGCCAAGCTGGGGAGGAGCCGCTAGGAGGCTCGTGGTGGCTTCTCACGGGGATGTCACCCCTTCCTGTGTCTCCCCTGACAGCTTGGGCATTGGCGTGGCTGGCACGGCGGCAGGGCCTCCGAGAACATGTCAAGCATGGTAGGTGGCCTGGAAGCTGGAGGGTGTCACTGGGTTACGAACCTGCTGAACCTGGCACAGCTTGAGGGGGAGCATGGGGCCGCAGGGGTGCCAACATGGGTCCTGTCCCTCACGGGCATCTGTTGTGCACCCTGAGAAGAGGCCTGGGGTGCCCTTGGTTTCCCTTTGAGGGCTCCTGGGGAAGGAGTATGACAGTATGACTGTCCAGGGTCAGAATCCTTGGTCTTTGGAGGGGATGTTTATAGACCTGGGGTAAGGAGGGACATTGGGTGCCTGTGCCCAGCCCTTAGTATCTGGTCAATTGCTCCTCCCTGCCAGGAGCTGGGACGCTTAGAGATCCCGGCCGAGCTGGCCGTCATGCTGAGGACAGCAGAAGGTGAGCCTTGACTGGTGTTGCTCTTGCTGTGACCCCTCCCCTGGTCCCTTTACTGTGCAGAGGGTCTGTCCCTGTGGTCCCTCCCTCTGATGCTCTGGGCTCCCCTGAGCGCGCTGCCCAGCTCCCTCTGCCTGTGGCTGGTTGCTGATGGTGATGGCTAGAGGCAGAGGCAGTACCAGAGCCAGGTACCTAACCTGGGCATTTCTGTGCTGCTTCTGGTGCTGTCCCCAGGCCGTCAGCAGACCCTGGCCCAGAGCATCACCGAGGCCATGCCCCCGGAAGTTCCTGCTCAGTACAGCCTCACTCTCCCCCCGGATATCGACCAGTTCCCCTTCTCCAGCTTCGTCTCCAGCGGCTTTCAGGTGGGCCTCCCAAGGTTCAGCCCTTCCTGGCTGACCCTCGCAGTTCCCCAGATGTTAGTCCCCACCGGGCAGAAGCTGTCTATTCCTCTTATCTTTCCCCTCCTGTCGTGGGCTATGATACAGCTGCATTGATCAGAAAATATCCACGGAACGTAAATGACTCACTCTCTAGTGTTATTCAGATCTGCGATGCCACACTGGTGGTATTGCCCTGCTGTTGCAATAGTGTCGTTAAAGCGTGTGTAATGACCAGGGGCTATCCAGGCTCAGCGTTGGATACAAAACAGGATTCAAAACTGCACAAAGAGTATGATCCCAATTTTGTTAAAAACAATGGAGGGTACGGAGGCATGTATCTGTGCAGAGAAAGTAGAACTAAAAAGAGAGAGGCTAAAACGTTACCTGTGGTTGTATCTGGCAGTGGAGTGTTAGTGGTGGTTTTTATTCTTTATCCTTGTCCATGTTTTCTGCATGCATGGGCATCAATTTTCTAATCAGAACAAGCAATTAAGCTGCATTTTTAAGATGGTTTTCCACGCCAGTCCCTTTCCGTCTCCCAGGGTAATATTCCCATGGGTTCTCCTGGGGCTGTATCCAGCCCCTAATCAGATGCTGTGTCACCCTCCTTCCTTGCAGGAGCCAGCCCTGCCCAGCCCTGGGCAGCTGCTGGCCAAGCCCCTGACCCGGCTGGATGGTGAGAACCCTCAGCATGCCCTGGATATCAACAAGGTGGTGAGTGACACATCGGGGAGGGGACAGGATGGGTCCGTGCAGGGGCGGGACCCTGGCTCCTGGGTGTTGGCTGGGACACGGGGCCCCCAAATGTCCTGTCCTTGCCCCGCTTTGTGTCTACAGATGCTGCGGCTCCTAGGGGACGGGTCCCTGCAGCCCTGGCAGGAGCAGACCATGGGCACGTACCTGGTGAGACAGGGGCAGCGCCGGCCAGCACTGCGGGATGAGCTTTTCAGCCAGCTCGTGGCCCAGCTCTGGCACAACATGGACGAGCAGCAGAACCAGCGCGGCTGGGCCCTCATGGCCATCCTGCTCAGTGCCTTTCCCCCAATGCCCACCCTGCAGAAGCCACTGCTCAAGTAAGGGGTGTAGTGGGTGGAGGCCCGGCGGGTGGGGTCAGCGGGCCACCTTGCCCCCACAGCAGCTCTGTGCTGTCCCCCCCACAGATTTGTATCCGACCAGGCCCCCAGGGGCATGGCAGCGCTGTGCCAACACAAGCTGCTAGGGGCTCTAGAGCAGGCGTGGCTGGCCCCTGGGATCACACGGGCCCACCCGCCCAGCCAGCTCGAGTGGACAGCCGGATGGCGGCGGGGCCGAATGGCACTGGACGTCTTCACTTTCAATGGTGATGCCTGCTTCCTGCTCAGGCCTCCCCAGGCTCACAGTGGGAGCCAGCCCTCCCCCTCCCCCTCCCTGGACCCCCTTCCTGCCTCACCCCCTGTGACCCTGATCTCCCTTCTGTCCTGCTTTTGGAACCCCCATGGGGACAGCAGCCCCTTCCAGCCTGGGTGGACCCTGCTGTCTCTCACCCTCGGCCCCCACCCTGCATCCCCACAGAGGAATGCTGCTCGGCCGAGGTGGAGTCTTGGACGACGGGGGAGCAATTTGCGGGGTGGATTCTACAGAGCAGGTATGGGGGCCCCGGGGTGGGGGGCAGTGTGGCCAGCACTGACCATTGTCCCGTCCTCCTCCTGCGTCCTCGCCCCCCCAGCCCACTCTCCCACCAACCACCCCCTGCAGCGGCTCCTGAAGGCCCAAGGCCAGAGCCTGCTCCCCCAGGAATGGGGTGTGGGGATTAGTGGGCAGGGTCCAGACAGTAAATGCGAGATGGGGAGCAAGAGTGGAGATTATACCCACAGTCCAGGTTCTAATTAAATAGGTGAACAAATAAACGCGAATATCGGAGTTGATGTGTTAAGTAGGAGGGTTGTGAGTTGCAAATAAGGAAAGCTGTCTGAGCAAAATTGGGTTCCTCACCCAAGTACCTCCCCTTCCTCAGCCCCCTCCCCCTTGCCCTTTGGGGGTGGTCATCTGCCTGGCTGACCACTCCTCTACTGCACACCTCTGTCCCACCCAGAGGCCTGGAGGGGCCCCCCCGCGGCTGGTCTGTGTCACTGCACTCCAGGGACTCCTGGCATGACTTGGCTGGCTGCGACTTCGTGCTGGACCTGATCGGCCAAACAGAGGACTTAGGGGACCCGGCTGGTCCCCAAAGCTACCCCATTGCCCCCCGAAACTTGTAGGTGTTGCCCCAGCACCCCTGTCCCCAACCTGCTCCTATCCCTATCCTGTTGTAGGTGACTCCACAGCCACCCTATTATACCCTGGGGTTTATAGTTGCTGCCACAGGCCCAGCCCCCTGCCCCCAAGGGACAACCCCCACAGCAGCTTCTATACCTTGCCTCAGCCTGGGCACTACCCCCAGCCAGGGCACCCCCTTAGCTGGACCTACTGTCTCCTACAGAGCTGAGGATATCCCCCCCGCCCCCGGTGTCCAGGCTCCCTCACTACCCCCAGGTCCCCCTCCAGGTCCAGCCCCGACGCTGCCCAGCAGGAGTCACACAGGTAAGGCTGGGAGCAGGCACACCGAGGTTGGCAGAATGCTGGGAATGGGGGCATACAGGAAGCCCATGCCCCAGGCAGGTGGCACTGACCCTCCTCTGGCCCCACAGGGCAGTCCCGGGCCTCAGGGAATCTGGATGGCTTCCTAGACCACCTCTTCGAGCCAGTCCTCTCTCCAGGCCTCAGGGTGAGAGTTGTACACGCACACCCACCCCACCCTTGCCCCTACCCCACTGGGGCTCTGCGGCCCCTCCCAGCTCTCCCATGGCTCTAGCTCTGACCCTATGACCTGTGGCTTTTGTCTCTTCAGGATCTGGAGCAAGGGTGGGCTCTGAGCAGCCGAATGAAAGGAGGGGGCGCCATCGGGCCCATGCAGCAGGGCAGCTACCCCATGGGTGAGTGCGGGGCCAGACACCCATCCAGGGTCTCCCTGGCCCAGCAGCGTAGGCAGGCATGGCCTGGGAAGCCCCAGGCCTGGGGTCAGAGCTCCAGCCTGCGCCCTGGTGGCCCATACTCTTTTCTTGGCCTGGGGCTGGAGGGAGGCGGTCTTTGGGCCCAACATGGATGACCTGGGAGCACCCTGTTCCCTCAGTGTACCCAGGAATGATGCAGATGCCTGGATACCAGCCAGCCATGATGCCTGCACCCATGCCCATGATGCCAGCAGTGGGCGCAGTCCCCGCCATGCCAGGTAAGGCTGAGCTGGGTCACTGGGTCCCTTCTCAGGGAGGCACTGGAGGAGGGAGGATCTGGTCAGGGGCCCAGAGGACACATTGGGTGGAGGGCTGTGAGCTTGGCCATAGCATTCACCTGCCCTGCCCACCTGCCACACTTGCAGCCATGGTGGTGCCACCACAGCCACAGCCACAGCCACAGCCCCTGCTTACCAGTGTGGATGCAAGACAGCTGGCGACCCAGCAGCAGAATTTCATCAACCAGCAGGCGCTGATCCTGGTGAGGGTGGGCATGGCCCCCAGATTGCCTGGCAGGGACAGGTCTGTGGGGCAGGGCCAGGCCAGCGCTTACCTGGCCCACCCACTGCCCCTCCCGCTTCAGGCCCAGCAGATGACTGCCCAGGCCATGAGCCTGTCCCTGGAACAGCAGACACAGCAGCGCCAGCGCCAGGCCCAGGCCCCTGGAGCTACCTCCTCGGCCACAACTCCAGCCATCTCCCCCAAACCCAAGAAGCCCCCAGCCCCCCAGGAGGAGCCAGAGTGCGAGCTGGAGCCGGTGGGTGCCTGCCTGAGGGTGAGGAGCAGAGATCTGGCCCAGGGCGGGGCCTGGGAGAGGCAGCAGGCTTCAGGGCTCTGGGGGTGGGAGACATGGGGTTGGAGGTGTGGGAAGATACAGAAAAGATGCCATCAGGCTCCCGTCTCCGGGATTCCAGGGGTTCACTGTGAGGGTGGCGACTTGGCTGGCAGGGCTGCTCCTTCACTTCCCCTTTCTGACAGCAGGAGACCTCACAGGAGGAACACAAGCCCCAGCGGCCCAAGAGCTTCCAGCAGAAACGCGACTATTTCCAGCAAATCGGTGAGGGAGCCTGGGGTGGCAGGCCCACGCAGAAGCTCGGTCAGCACCCCAGCCCAGCCAGGGGGCGGTAGGGTGCACTCTACTCCCCTGGGTCAGTGTGACCTATCCAGGAGCATGGAAGGTCAGGCCAGGTGGAGGGTGACAGACAGGCCATCTGGTCACTTACAGGGCAGCAGCAGATCAAGGTGAAGATGGTAAAGCCTCCTGCCAAGGTGCAGATCCCCCAAGGGGAGGAACAGGAGGACCAGGAGGAGGCGGAGCCCAGCACAGGTGGCGGGGAGACGGGGGAGGGCTGGACTTGACCGTTCTGCACAGGGTCTCACGTATTTCCTGTTCTCCTGGTCAGTGCCTTCCCCTCCTCCGCCCTCGGTAGGGAAGAAGCCACTGACACAAGGTGGGGCCAGGGCTGCTCGGGAGGCTGAGGCTGAACCGGCCAGGAAGGCGGTGCCGGGAGGGCCTGAGGTGGTGCGCAGCTCCGTCCAGCCACCCAGGAAGGCAGAGCCCAGCAGGGAGATCCGAAACATCATCCGCATGTACCAGAGCCGCCCAGGCCCCGTACCTATGCCTGTACAGCCGTCCAGGTGGGCCTGGGCGTGGCCAGCACTGCCCACTCCCCGGGGAGTCACCCTGCGGACTCCTGACCTCTTCCCTCTCTCAGGAAGCCCGCCACAACGTTCCTAAAGAAAAACAACCCGAAGGACGAGGCTCTGGCGAAGCTGGGGATCAGTGATGCCCACTCGCCCACCTCGGTGAGGCCCGTCCCATCCCGTCCAGGGCATGGCTCCTCCATTCGGGAGTCCAAGGCTCTCGGGGGTCAACTTGGCCTTCCCCAGACACAGCTGGTGTGCGTTCTCTGTGCCTCCACAGACACGGTCCCCCAGCCCAGGGAAGGGTCCCCCACCACCTGTGGCCCCTCGAACCAAGTCTCCACCACGGCCCGGGACCTCCAAATCCATCAGGGAGAAGCAGGGGCCCCTTCGGGAGCTGTTTGGCCAGACCCCACCCACTGCCCGGGCACCCCCACCTCCACCAGCACCCCCACTGCCTCCACCTGGGGACCCGGGGACTCCTTCAGCTGAGCCTCGTGGTAAGGAACCCCACATCCCCACGCAGTGGGCTTCCTTGGGATGGGGGTACGATTCCCAGCAGACTCTTGGCGCTCATGGCTGGGATCAGCTGCTCGGGCTTCTGGACTTTGGAGCCACAGGTGAAGAGCCCCACTTCCGCATTCCCCTCCCAGGGCGGGGCCTGGCCACCCCCGGGGCCTGTGTGGTACCGAGGGACTGTCACACACAGGGTGTTGTCCTTGATGTGGACCTGGAGGCTCCAACAGGAATTTAGAGGCGCAGCTGACGTGGTCAGGGAGGGCCCATGCATGTCAGGGACAGCGGGGAAAGTCCGAGACAGGAGACGGAGGCAGGAGGTGGGCCTGTGGGCGGGAGAGAGGCAGCGGAGGCTGAGCGAGCTGCTCCAGGGAGATGGGGGTCTTCTCTGTCTGAGCCCCCATTATTCTGGCTTTGGCTGCTCTTCAGCTGACGCCCACACCCCTCCCTCTGCCAGGCTGTATGGAGTCCATGGGGGACGAGGGGACCCGCACCCAGCTGCTCGTGCCCTCTGGCAGCGTGAGCTTCTCCTACGCCAGTGTGCCCTGGAGGCTGTTCCTACGCAAGGAGGTGGGCACGAGGGCCGGGCCGTAGCCTGACCTCTCTCTGGGCTGGGGACAGGGCAGCAGGCTGTGGGAAGACCCAGCCTCAGACCCCAGTCTCTGCTCCCCACACACAAACACTACCCACCTCCCCAGGCCAGGCTTTCTGTCTGACCTGGGAGACAGAGGTGGGGCAGGACGGGGCTGGGCGGGGCACCATGTCGCCTCTCACTCTCCCATGCCCTCCTCCAGGTCTTCTACCCCCGGGAGACCTTCAGCCATCCTTACAGTCTCAGGCTCCTCTGTGAGCAGGTGAGAGCCCAGCCCACCTGCAACAGGTACCGACAGACCACACCTACACCTGGGCCAGGCAACCGCCAGTGCGAGGGGCCCAGTAAACAGCCAGCGCCGATGGGGCGTGCGCTGTGTTTTGAGCCCTGGCTTCCTTTATGTAAGCCTCATGACATCCCTACGAGTAAGGACCATTGCTGGCCTATAAAAAGGATTGAAACTAAGGCGTATACAGTACCCAACACAGGCTCCAGCACACGGCGGGCGCTCACTAGTGCCTGTTCCTTTGTCATCTCTGGATGCTCCCAGGAACACGCCTGTCCCCCAGATCTACAGTAGACCCCCCTCCCCCCACTAAGTTCTGCTTCTTCAGAGAAACTTATCTCCACTGACCGAGTAACAGCAGGCAGTTAGGGGAGGCAGGTGGGAACCTGGACTACTGAGACCCTGGGTTTGGAAGTCCCACATCCCTTGCTGCTCCAGCTACGCCCACGGGCTCTCTGGCTTTTCCCCTGTGCGTGGCTGCTTCTGTGCTGAGCACTGGCATCAGGACCAGGTGGTGACCACCTGGCTCTGTCCCCAGATCCTGAGGGACACCTTTGCCGAGTCCTGCCTCCGGATCTCCCAGGACGAGCGGCGCAAAATGAAAGACCTGCTGGGTATGGTCCAGGGACCCTGCAGTCAAGGAGCTGGAGTGCGGGGGGCTGGGCCTGCCCAGAGGGAGGGAGCAAACTCTGGGGTCCCCCCTGTGAGGGAGGCTGAGGACAGTCTGGGACTGTCACTGCCCACAGGAGACCTGGAGGTGGGTCTGGACTCACTCGTCACCACTGAAGACAGTGTGAAGAAGCGCATTGTGGTGGCCGCCAGGGACAACTGGGCCAATTACTTCTCCCGCATCTTCCCCGTCTCGGTCAGTGAGGTGGGGGTAGGGCTGGGGTGGCAGCACCCCAGCCTGGGTCCCAGCACGCAGCCTGGGCCTTCTGCAGCAGGAATGAAAGCTGGGCTGGGGGGAGTGGAAGGACCAAAACAGTGTGGGCCCTGAGCAGCCCCAGGGCATCTTGGCTGGTGGAAGGGACCCAGCAACCGGTCTGTGACCCCACCTTGTGGGCAGGGCGAGAGTGGCAGCGATGTGCAGCTGCTGGGTGTGTCCCACCGCGGGCTGAGACTGCTCAAGGTGACCCAAGCCCCCAGCGTCTTTCCCGACCAGCTGAAGACTCTCCGCTCATACAGGTGAGCCTCGGCTGTGGGGGTAGCGGGCTGGAGAGATGGCCCCCAGCTCACGCCCCCACCCTGTGCACAGTTTTGCGGAGGTGCTGGGCGTGGAGTGCCGGGGCAGCTCCACCCTGGAGCTGTCGCTGAAGAGTGAGCAGCTGGTGCTGCACACAGCCCGGGCGAGTGCCATCAAGGCCATGGTTGAGCTGTTCCTGAGTGAGCTCAAGAAGGCAAGCGGGGAGTGGGGGGTTGCCCAGGTAGGGGGCCTCCACCAATGCTGCATGGCGCCCTCTCTGGGTTGGCTCATCTCGGGGCTGTCAGCCAAGCTCCCTCAAGCTGCCAAGGGTGGGGTTGGGAGTCCCGGGTATGTCCCTGGAATTCTGGGGTGCTCAGGTGAGAATGAGCTAGTGGAAGGGGGAGCAGGTGGGTCGGGCAGGACAGGGCTCGCAGGTAGGCTGGCTGTTCCCTCGCTTGCTCACCCTCCTGCCTGCAGGACTCTGGCTACGTCATTGCCCTGCGAAGCTACATCACTGATGACCACAGCCTCCTCAGTTTCCACCGTGGGGACCTCATCAAGCTGTTGCCAGTGGCCACGCTGGAGCCAGGTATTCCCCAGGGGCAAGCAGTCCGCTGACACAGGGAGGGCAGCGTGAGGCGGAGCCTCTGAGGGGCGGAGAGGCCAGGTGGGTGAGGCGCCGTCCGTGGATGCCTTCCAGGCTGGCACTTTGGCTCCATCGGGGGCCGTTCCGGACTCTTTCCTGCCGACATCGTGCAGCCAGCTGCTGCTCCAGACTTTTCCTTCTCACGGGAGCAGAGGAGTGGCCAGAACAAGAGTCAGCTGCAGCGCAGAGAGCCGGGGCCGGGGCCGGCTTCGTGGGAGAGGGCGTTGGAGGTGAGGGAGGCGGGAGAGGTGGACGCAAGACCTACCTAGGAGTCAAGGAAGGAAAGGGCTCGAATGTCCCAGAGCAGCAAGGACCCTCCTGCTGCTGGGTGGACAGAGCTGATGCCGCCCCTTGGCCCTCTCCCTGTTTCCTGCCTTGTCTCCCCAGCAAGACTGTGAGCTCCCTGCAGGCAGGGCCTGTGCTGTCTGCCCCTTGTGTGTCTGTCCCTTATCATACTTAGTTCCGTGCTGCCTTAGAAGATGCTCAATAAAAAGCCCTTGACTTTCCTGACTTCTGCTGGTGTGCTCACTACAGCCGCCCAGCCTGCTCCTCTAGGGTTGGGCTGGGGTGGGGGCTGGGGCAGGGCCTCTGGGCAGGCCAGTGGGCGGTCAGGTGGCACCAGGTCTCCTATGCTCCCAGGGTCCCACCCGCCCCCAGAGCCGGGCACACAGTGACAAGTCGGAGGCCACCAACCTACCCTTCTCTGTGGCCTCTGCCTCTCAGCCTATGGGCTACACCATGCAGGAGTTTGCCCTGCAATACTTCCGGATGCCCAAGACCTTGTGAGTACCCTGGGCCCAGCCCTCTGTCCGCAATCTCCCGGAAGTGGGCCTCCCTGCTCAGAGCCACCAGGCCAGTGCTCTTAGCACCCTCCCTACATAGCCTGGGATGTGGCCAGAGGACCGAGCAAGCAGGCCTGTCCTCCTCTCTGCCCCCTCAGGCTGGACCAGGCAAGTGGAGGTGCTAAAGGGAAGGCCACGGCCAGCCTGGTGCAGTACACAAAGGTAGGGGGACAGGTGGGGAGGAGTCGGGCCAGTCGACCTGCCTTCTGGCCTCCGTGGCCCCCAGGCCCACAGCACAGCCTCTTTGGCTACAGGCTCCCATCCAGGAATCGCTCATCAGCCTTAGTGATGAGGACACGAACAGGCAGGCTGTGGAAAGCTTCCAGGGTGAGTGGCCATCCTGGGTCCCCAAGTCTGCGGTGCCTTGGACCTAGGTGCCTGGTCGCCATCTCCCCTTGAGTTTGCCAACTCCAGGTAGCTCACTGATGGTCCCTATGCCCCCATGGCCCTTACCCACTTCTACTTCCACCTAAGGGGTAATGGATCGTGTGGCGTCTGGGCTGGAAGGCAGCAGTGGGTCCAGTTCACTGGGCTCCGTGTGGGGTTGCAGGCACCCATAGAATCTGAGCCTTGTCTCCTCGTTGGTAAAGCTGGGATGGCCGCTCTGCCTGGCTCACACACATTTTGAGAGCAAGGCATGAGATGGCAGGAGAAGCCCCTGTGTGGTGAGAGCGCAAGCCAGGGCCGGGCCCCCAGCCCGGCTTCCCACACTTCTCATCCTGCCTGCAGCTCTGATGCAATTTATGGGGGACCAGTCTAAACCCCGGGGCAAGGATGAGATGGAGCTCGTCTACGAGCTGCTGAAGGTGAGCAAGAGCTGTGTGTGCTGGAAGCTGGGGGCGGCGGGGGGGACACAGTGAGTCCTAAGGGTGCCTTCCTGTTCTGCCTGGGCCTGAGTGGGAGCCCCCTCCCTTGGTCACTATTCATTTGAATCATCCAAAAGTATTTATTCAGCATGTACTATATGCTGGGGGCATGGCGGTGAGCCAAGCAGGCTAAGTCCCTGCAGAACTTACCATCTTGTGTGAGGAGACAGTAAACCACGATGCAGTGTGTCTGGGAGTAAAATGTGCCATGGGAAGTAAAGCAGGGGAAGCGGCTGCTATAGTGCCGAAGGCTTGGTGACAGGGTGACACTGGAGCAGAGATCTGAAGGAAGCAAGGGAGTAAAGGCATGTATGCACTGGGGGCAGCACATGTGGACAGAGAGAGGGGCAGGGGTGACAGTCCTGATGACAGGGTGAGCCTTAGCACCAGCAAGGCCAGCATGGCTGGAGCCCAGTGAGCTACAGGGAGAGTGGAGGATGCAGGCTGGGAGGGACAGTGGGTCACTGTCATGGCAGGCCTTGCGAACCATTGGCAGGACTTTGATTTTTTCAAGAGAGATGTGGCTTGTGTTTCCCGGGGTCGCTCTGGCTGTTGCTTGCTACTCTGGGGGCGTAAGCACTAAAGGAGGTGATTGAAATGATCCCAGGTGAAAGGAGGTGCTGGTGTGGACCCAGAGGAGGCAGCAGAGGACAAAAGACTTAGAGGAGCGGATTTGTGAGGAACTGCATGTGGGGTGTAAGAGAGGGGCCAAGGATGCCACTGAGGCCTTGGCCAGAGCAATGACCGTCTTTGCTTAGGAAGCCTGAGGGAGGAGTGGGTCTGGGCTGGTGGAAGTTTCAGAGGTGAAGCCTGAAGTCCCAGACTTCCAAGAGGAGGGCCTGGGGTTCAAGGGAAAAGTTTGGGCTGGAGGCAGGTACCAGGGTCACCAGCAGATGGAAGCAGCTGAGAGCATCAGGGAGCGAGTGTAGGCAGAGGCCCAAGAGCACAACAGCCCTTAGAGATCAAGGAGATAAGGGGAGCCAGCAGAGGTGACTAAGACAGAGGGACCAGAGAAGGCGGAGGACAGGCCGAGCTCGGCCCAGAAGATGAAGACAGTGGTTTGCAGAATGACCAGTTGTGCAGATGCTGTTATGCCGAGTGAGATAAAGACTGAGAGATGACCACCGGGCTGCCACCTCGCCTTGGCCCCCAGCCCACAGCCCTTAGCAGGATTTGTCCCTGACTTCAGACCCCATGCCATCATCCCTCACTCCATCACACAACAGCTCTGCCCTCCCCCACTGCCTCTGCCCTTCCTGTCACCACAGCTGTGTCGTGAGAAGGAGAACCTCAGGGATGAGATTTACTGCCAGGTCATCAAGCAGGTCACGGGACACCCCCAGCCGTGAGTGTGGGGGACTCGTGGGGAGGGGCAGCAGGCATCCCACTGCTGTGGTCCTGCAGGCTGAGCCCAGGCTCCCTGCCCTGCAGGGAACTCTGTGCTCGAGGCTGGCGCTTCCTCAGCCTCCTCACTGGCTTCTTCCCCCCGTCATCCACGCTGATGCCCTACGTGACCAAGTTTCTGCAAGATTCAGGCCAGAGTCAAGGTGCCTCTGGGAGGGGCTTCCAGGCTGGGGGCGTGGCTGCTTGGGGAGGGGTTTGGAGATGTTCGTGACCCCAGCCTGGCTCCTCCCTGCAGAGCTGGCCCGGACTAGCCAGGAGCACCTCCAGCGCACAGTCAAATATGGGGGCCGCCGGCGGCTGCCCGCCCCGGGTGAAATGCAGGCTTTCCTGGTACTGGGGGTATAGGTGGCTGGGCATCCTGGTGCTCCCTGTCGGGGGGAGGCTGGGGCCGCTGTCCACCGGTGGACTGACCCCACCACATGCTTGGCAGAAAGGGCAGATGGTCCGCCGGCTTCTAATTCACCTGCCTGGGGGTGTGGAGTACAAGACCAACATCCAGACTTTCACAGTAAGCGCAGGGCCACCAGAGGGGCTGGGGAGAGGCAGGGAAGCTGTGGGCACCCGTTCTGGGCCCCCCCACCAGCCCCCGCCATCATGGCCCTGTCCACATGCCCAGGTGGCAGCAGAAGTGCTGGAGGAGCTGTGCGGGAAGATGGGCATCCTGGACCCTGGCGAAGTGCAGGAATTTGCCCTCTTCCTCATCAAAGGGGAAGGTGAGCCGCATGGCCAGGCTGGATTCAGGATGCCGGGTCCACCTTTGAGCCCACGAGGGAGGCAGTTCCCGCACTGGGGTGGCAGAGCTGCGGGCAGGGCTGGGCGGGCTGCAAACCCTGGCTCCCCGTGCAGGTGAGCTGGTGCGGCCCCTGTGGCCCCACGAGTATCTCAACAGCATGGTCGTGGACAAGGATGTGAGCCTGCACAGCCGGCGGCTCAGCTGGGAGAGCCGGCTGCACTTCGATAATCCCACCTACATCACCACCCACTACAACCAGGTCAGCTCCACCTGCCCCCAAGTGGCTGTGCCGCTGGCATCTGCCGCCCCCCACCACGAGTCCCAGCTTGGGCGGGGGACCTCCAAGCCCCGCTCCTCCCAAGGAGAAAGGATGGTGGCAGGAACTGGTAGGGGCTTTAGGGCACAGCTGCCCCCTCACTGACCTGCCCTCTCAGGTACAGCGGGACTACCTGCAGGGAAAGCTGGTGGTCAGCGCCCAGGAATATGCCCAAGTTGCCAGGCTGGCCGCCCTCCAGCACCTCAGCAGGGCCCACAAAGACCTCCTCTCAGAGTGAGTGCAAGATGACCCCCATACCTGTCGCTTCTCTTGTCCCTCCTGTTGCAGAGGTCCACCTCAGCACCCACCCTAAGGGCCTCTCCTTCACCCCACATCCTCCAAGGTCAAGGCCACTTGACTAATACTCCTCTTGGCCCTGTGTACACCTGCCCTCCTCACCCCAAGCTCAAGGGCAGGGACCACGCCTCATTCATGTGTCTGGGTCCCCAGTCTCACCCACAGTCGCCACTGGTTCATTTACTTAGCACCTGCTGTATGCCCGGCTTTGACTGACCTGGCTGTGTCCTAGGCAAGACCTGTTGGCTTACTTGCCGAAGCCACTGCAACAGCAGGTGAACGTGGTCACCCTAAAGGGCCTAATGGAGCAGGAGCTGAGGCAGCTGCAAGGATGCAGCTCCCAGGAAGCACAGATCAGCTTTATCGGTGGGTCTGGGGCACTGGTAACTGGGGCAGCGGCAGAAGGTGGGAGGCCCAGGAGGGAAGGGGTGAGAGTGGAGGGGCTGAGGAAACTTCTCCACCTGTCCTGTTCCTCTCACCTGACCTGGGGGCCAGGTAGGGCAGGGCCCAGGGCCCAGTAGCCAGAACCCCTGTCTTCCCCGTCCATCCCAGAGGCCGTGAGCCAGCTGCCCCTCTTCGGCTACACCGTCTACATGGTGCTTCGGGTGAGCCAGCTGGCCCTGCCCAGACCCAGCCTCCTGGGGCTGAACCGCCAGCACCTCATCTTCATGGACCCCAGCTCCCAGGTGGGCCAGGCACCTGTCCCCATGTGGGTCTGGGCACCCTTGGGTCACTCCTGTCCCACCACCCACACTGACCCCTCCCAAGAGGGCCAAGCTCTGTCTCTGCTGCCCCCAGACTCCGTGCTGCTCCATCGCCCTGAGGGATGTGCAAAGGCTCCGCGTGCTGAGCCCCCTGGAGGAAGGGGAGCCCCCTGGTCTGGAACTCAACTATGGCTCAGCTGACAGCCCTCAGACCATCTGGTTTGAGCTGCCGCAGGTGAGTGGCCAGGGCCTCTGAGCACCTGGGAAGCTGGCAAGTGTTTCACCTGGGGCTGGCATGGCCGGAGGCTGGGCCCAGGCCGATGCCCACTGCTCAGGCGTGGTGTGGGCGGGGGCAGAGGTGAGGGCTGGCTGGGAGCCCTGTCCTCACATGCCTGTGCCCGGCAGGCCCAGGAGCTGAAGCACACCATCACCTTCCTGCTGGACAGCAGCACCGCTTCCGCTTAGTGGCCTGCCTCACCCCAGAGGAAGAGCGGGCCCTCCCTGGCCCAAGTTTCATCCAGACGGTCTCCCTTGGGTGCTGTCAGCTCACTTTGCTTTGGATTTCATGGCTTGGCTGTCTGGAACCTGCCACAGCACAGCCGGGCTGGCCCACATGAAGGCCACAAAGCAGGGGCTGGTATATTGACATCAACTTGGAAAGAGAGTAATGAGACTGCTTCAGGCGGCGGGGGGTGGGGGATACAGGAACTCAGCTTGGGCCTCTGATGCTGCCCAGTGTGGGGGATATGCCCACCTGGCCCCGGCCCCGGGTCAACATCAGCATGACCCCAGACCTGACAGAAGCAG